TGAGAAAAATTGTTATTTTTTTAACTGCTGTATATAGGTTCAAACAGGTGAAAAATAAATTGCTAACGCGAGCTACCAAGATAAAACTTTTTACAGCCGAAAAACCTATATTTTTTCGTTCTTTGTTTCACATATAACTCTTAAAGGGTGCATCAAAGCGAAAAATGTACTCATTAAGAAATTAAAAGACGTTAAATTGTGCGTCAAACGGTCAACTAAACTTAATAATTTGATTAAGTAATATGGTAGAAAATCATGGTTAACGAACGATGACTTCAACCAAATTTGTCAAGGACTGAAACAAATTACTATTAAGTTCCTCTGTTGTTTGGAAACGAGCCCCTTAAGAGGAAAATCCCTAGAATCAAAATTGTAGAGCATCAAATTTTGCGACCACTGAGTACTTATAGATTTAATATAGAGCAATTATATTTCTCGAATCGGGATTCGTTATTTTTTTATGAAATCCGTTTTTTTTTCATCTCATGGTTTCTCTCAATCCTTTGATGCAGAGAAGTGGGAAATAGGCTTATACTACATGTAACAGACTCTAAACAAGAATAACTAATTAGAATAGACACCCACACTGTTAAAATATTCAAAATTACACATACCTCATTATCATTTTTCAGCCACTGGGAAATTACTGATTTGGTGCGGAGTAAATTACCTACATTAAAACGGTTAGTACTCAGTGAACGCAAAATTTGATGCACTACAACTTTGATTCTACGGGTTTTTGCATTTACGGAACTCATTTCCAAGCTGAAGAGGAATTTACAGTAATTTGTTTCAACTGTTGACAAATTTGGAAAAAATCAGCGTTGGTTGACTATGGTTTTCTATCATATTATTTAACTAAATTATTAAGTGTAGGTACTCGTTTCACGATCAATTTAACGTTCTTTTATTTCTTAATGAGCACATGTTTACTCCAAACACACATATACTTTATCCTACACTGTCAATACCATCTGTATGCCAATGACGTCCAGATTTACCTCTCCTTCAATCAGACCGAATCCTCTGACGCCATCAAAAAATTACAGGAAGATGTAAACGGAATTTGTTCCTGGGCAAACCACAATAGAATTACGCTAAACTCCGAGAAGACGAAAGCCATCCTGATCGGAACTCCGTTACTCCTCAAATCCTTACCGACACTTCCCAATCTTTTCTTGAAGAACTCACCTATCTCATTCCTTACTTCCGTAAAAAACCTTGGTGTTACCTTTGATTAAATCCTCTCCTGGAAACTACACATCTCCCAAATTTCCCGTCGTACTATCTCTACCCTGAAACAGTTTAGCAGTCTCCGCTATCTCCTTCCATATAAATCCTGACAACTCCTGGTTTCCTCCCTTGTGTTCGCCCACTTCGAATATGTGCTGTCTGGTGTACGACGGACTCTTGTCAGCAATATATTTCGTGTTCGGAATCTCAAGAGATACGCATATAACCCAATATTACACCAAGCTGAAGCGGCTCTATCCATCCAACCGCCGTATGTACTTCCTTGCTACCTTTCTGTACCAAACCATCAGAACTCAGCGACCTTCCTATATTTTTCACAGACTACAATTTAAATATTCCATTCAATCCCGTCCCACTAGATCCCGTACTTCTGATCTCTATACATCTCCTCACCGAACTGCTGCGTTTAACAAATCCTTTATAATTCAAGCCGTCTCCATCTGGAATACCTCCCGATATCCGACATGTACATTCAGTTTCCTCATTTAAATCTCTCCTTTTAAGCACCTACTTCTTTCCCAACCAGATTGATCATGAAAAGTAGATAAGACAACTTTTAAGTTCCCCCAGAAATGATTTTGTTTACTCATGTTATTTTATTTTCAAATGTTTGTATTATATATCTGTATATTTTTAGTGTTTTTGTTTTATTTTTCTTTCAATATTTAAATTTTAATGAGAACTGTAAATATTTAATTTAATTTTATGGCCACACAGGGATTTGCTCTGTATCTATAATTTATTCTAAAGGGACAACAGTCCCAGGATAATAAAAATTTATTATCTTCATTTCACATTTCGCTTAGATATACCGCTTAGCAGTTATATGGTAAAAAATATGGCTTTTTTGTCTGTAAAAAGCTATTCATTGGTTGCTCGCGTTAGCAATTTTGGTTTTATATGTTTGAACTATATATATATATATATATATATATATATATAATATATATATATATATATATATATATATATATATATAGTGTTATATTTTTAAATATAACAGTAATTACTCTGAAAGAAAAATAAAGAAGATAACAACTTTAATATTGCATGGCTGCTCAACTGAGATGCTAAATGAAACAGCATGCTCATCAGTTAAGAGATATTTAAAACCATAAAATTCAGAGTTAGGAGGGACCATTTAAATATATAGCAAATATAGGTGATGGAGGATCTTATGGAGGATATTATATATATATGATAACTGATAACTGATAAATGATAACTTTCCCCAAAATGTTGGCAATATATTTCCCGAATATATCCTTAAATTACTGGTCTAATATTCTTTAAATCAGCCACCATTTTGAAAGCGCCTCTGGAATGGCAGAAAAGATTAATTTTACTTCGAATAACATAAACTTTCGTAATTTACATTCAAAATTTCGCCTGTGATCAGGTCGATTTTTGGGCCCTGGTTCCATGTCTATAAGAAGGTACAAAGAGTTGGAATGATATAAGTGGAAATCATATATAGGTAAAACACATTGAAATTCCTTTATTCAATTTAAAAAAAATACAAAGTAGCAGGAATGCAACAGAAACAAAAACATAATTACTAAAAAATAATTTTGAAACATCAAATTTAATAATTCTTAAATAAGTCATCATAATTATAATTAATGCTACTTATTAATTAAACTATATTCAGATGAAACAAACAAACAAAAAATACAAAATTATCTGTGAAGTTACTTTTCCGTTCTGTGTCATCAATTTCATTTTATCATTTAATTTCATGTAGTACTTAAATAATATTAATTGAACATAGTAAATCAAGAAATAATCTTTTTAAAATATTATAAGCGTTGGATGATATCTGAGACCTAGATTAAAAAAATATATATATAAAAAAGATTAGGTGATCTATCTATTTTATTGTTCCTTTAATTTTTAACAAATTAGTAGACAATTAACGGAAAAGTATATTGATAAAGTAACACAATTTTAAAGAATAATCAAATTAAAATAAAATTAGAAATAAAAAATATTACTTTTGCAACAATATTGCAAATTAAGATCTAATACATCTAAGAGAGGTTTCATATCCGATATATAACAATCACAATGGACTCATAATTAATCAAATAAATTTTTAAGCAAACAGATCTCATTCTTTCTTATTAAAATTAACACATACAGTACAATCTAATCAGTTGAAGTAGTGTAATAAATTATTGTTTCATAACCCAACCATTTCGTATTTCTTAGCTCGATATTAAACAGCCATAAAAACTTTTCTAAACATCACAATTACATTTTCACAAACATTGTAATACGAAAAATAAATAAAATAAAACATGAAATATCTAAATTAAAAAGACAATTTAAATAAATAAATAATTTTATTTTTTTTAATATAAAAAAGAAGGACTTGTAGGTATAAATGCAAAAATAATACTTCACTTGCAAATTGAAATAGTAAAAAAAAAATGCAAGAACATAAAGGGTAATAAAAAAAAAAAAATACATTCAAGATAATATTGGAAACAAAAAAAGAAAAAAATTAGGGATGCATCCAAGTACGGCATTTTAAGATTCGGCAGAAAAACGTTCTGAATTATTTTTCAATGTATGTATAAAACTAATTTTTATATAGCTCTCTAGATAAGAAATCGTTTCAAAACAATATTCCCTTTAGAACACTTTAGCATGTAGTGATATTTTCTCTAAAAAAAAAAAAAATGTAATCAAATTATTTTATTTTATTTATAAACAATATTGATGGAGTTATTTCAGACATTTTAATCACTGCAGGAATAATACTTATTAAATTTTGAAAAAAACCTAATACAATTAATTTATAGACTAAAAAAACACATAGGAACATATTCCGTATTCTTTCATTCGCTTTAGTTATTTAATTTCATAACAAATATATATAAAAACGATTTAAGACATATAAGGCATATTTCCGAAAATATTTAATTTTACCAACTAATCTTATTAGTTCGGAGAAACAAAAAAAAGTATTTAATTCTTTTTTAAAAAATAAATGGATTCTTTTCACAGCCTTAACGAATAAAAAGATACTCAATGAAAAAATACTGTATGTATGAAATACTTCTTTTAAATTTACTCACAACAGAAAAATTTGCTGGAGTTAGTCTACAGTATTCTCCTAATTTCAGGAAACTTTGTCTAAAATTAATTTAATGAATTTAGTTAATTCATAGAAATGAAACAGAAGATACTTGTGTTTTCATTACTTACTTTATCGCCTAGACTTTACAAAGGCCTAACGTAAATTTAACAAAAATATTTTCTTTTTACGTTTTTACTATTCTGTTATAACTAACAATCTGTTAATATATTTGATTTCGTAGTTTTAATACTTTTTTTCGAACCTGAGACCAGCTAAATGATGGATAATATGTAAAGAAAAAGTTAAATATAAATAAAAAAACAATACCGCTGTGTTAAACCAGTCTATTTTTCGTTTCACTCGCTGCAGAACAAGACCATCTCACAACTATCCGTACATTTGCTTGCTCAATACCAAACGCTCAACCACATTTATCAACAAGATACATCACTTAAGTACACATTAATTAAAACACCAATAAAGCTTTAAGAAACAGATCAAATTAAATATAATTAAAATACTCCAAATGAGCAATAAATGGATAAAATGTCTAAATGAATATATACATTTATTTCAATTATTAAAAGAAACATATGTAATCATAAAAAGTAAAAAACCAAAAGGAACGACATCATCTATTAGGAAAATTGAAGGAATCTAATTATACTGAGATGTAGTTGCCCCGAGGAGTGTACAAGATCTGTCCAGTAAAGAGTCTCCTCCGTAGCTCTGACAGCAGCATCCTCTTTTCCTTCTTTATCTTCTTCAGGATGCCCTTGTTTTCCTGGGCCCTCCTCGACAAGTATGGCAGCACTTCATCCACCGGCCCGTAAGGGATGTACTTGTACACTGAGTAGCCGGCCTGTCCCAGCGGGAACGTGATATAGTCACACATTCCCAAGAGTTGCCCGAAGCAAATGATCTTCTCTTCTGGAGATATCCCACAATCCTTCATCTTTTCGATGGCGTATCTCACTGTGTCCTCATTGTGGGAGGCCACCATTATGGCGATCCTCTTCTGCAGGCCTTTCGTCCGTAGGTCGGTTATCCTCCTTAAGCACTCGGCCAGCGTCTGATTGTACATCTCGGAGGTCGCTTCGTAGGTGGGATTGATAGGGTCGGGGTATCCGAGGGCCGCAGCTCTGGCCCTCTCCTGCTCCATGTAAGCTCCCCTAACTAACTTGCAGCCGAAGAAGAAGTTCTGCCTTTTCGCTTGTTCCAAATCCGTCGATACTTCCTTCAGTGCATCCTTCAAGTAGCACTGGTAGGTATTGAAAACGATGGCTTTGTTGGTGTTGTACTTCCTCATCATTTCGAGCGTAATTCTGGATATGGCAGGCTGAAAGTAGGTCTGTTCGGCATCTATCATCACGCGTACGTCTAGATCCTTGGCAGTCTTGATGAGGGTGTTGAGCCGCCTCACCATGTTCCTGAACATCTCCTCCTCCCTGGATGAGAGCTGAGATATCAGCCGGACCATTCTCCCTTCCTTCAGGCTGGGAACACGAAAGGTGTCGCTCAGTTGAAAGTTCTCGTCAACGATGCCGCTCCAAGGAAAGAGGTGAATGACCCCTTCGCTGTCTTTGACAACCTTTGCAAGAAATTTCTTTGTATCTTTGATTCCGGCCTGCTCGAGCCTCTTCTCTAAATCGGCAGCGTTCAACTTCTGACCAATAACATTTCCTTGACCGCCAATAACTTCGCTGACAAATTTTCTCGCCCTCATGATGACTTCTGAGAGCTGCAGAAGGAGTTGAGGTCTTCCTAGAGCCGTGAGTTTGATCGCTGTAATCCCAGTTCCATAAGTAGCTCCAGCAGCTGCATGTAGAGATTCTTGAAATATTTCGACATTTCTCTCGCAAGATGCCTCGTTGAGATAGAAATAGGTCCTTGCGCTCTGTACTTTATATCTCCTATCAGCGAAGGTTTTAGTGACATTGTACTGAGGCATTTCCCCACCGATCGATCTGGCTTCACTGACAGCTTCCGACGATTTGATCTCGGAGACGCTAGATTCGACCTCTCTTTTCTCGGCTTCTTCTTGGCTAATGTCCTCCTCTACAGAGTAATCTAAAATTGGCTTCACACCGAAGCTCCTAAGCCTGGTGAGAGTTGGAACTATTCTATTTTGGTCCTCACCCGCCACAAAGTGGCCATAGAAAGTAGCTTTCATTAACTGTCTGAAAAGTCTTTCTCCAAGCATTGCCTTAGCTAGCTTCATAAGCTCCATGTTGTGTTCCACGACGTAGTTTGAAGAACACAAAGTGTAGACAATGTAGGCTCTCACTACCTCCCATGTTGTCTTACTTCTGAAAGCTGTTTCAGGGTCGTTGAAGGACGTGTCCAAAGGATCTCTCCTGGGAGGCCTATCGTAGAGATCAGATATTTCGGTAGATGTACTTCTCCTTCTAGCCTGATCCTGGTTCGCAAACGAAGAAAATGAACTATTCACAAAAAAAACATTTAAGTTGGAAATATTCCGAGGAAGTTTTCTGATGGAGTACAACAAGGCCATTCCTTTAGTTCCTGGGTCTTATAACTCGCTGGGTCTTTGCTGTTTGAAATAAACTCAACAACACTTAACAAACTCGATGTCAACGAAGAACCTGCAAGCCATGAATATCAAAGATGTTAAAATAAGATGTTTTAAAAAAATTTAAATAAGTTGCATTAAAAATCACCCTTACCTCACCAATGTCTGGCTTCGAATGGTGCCAAAGCTCTCCTCCAAGAACCTGAAACTGTAGAACACAGCTCAAGAATGATTGCAAATCATATCCGACAAATAATTAATGTCAACCACTGAAATATGTATTAACAATAACAAAAAGAATCGAGAAAAATGGTTTAATAATAAATGACGAAGCAAAAATAACAGAACACTAATATAACCTTCCAATGATTTAATCGATAATCAATATTGATACCTAAAACAAGGAGAATGATCTTCTCACATTTAAGTTATAACTGTTCATACAAAATTATTAATTAAAAAGTAATTATATATTTCAATTGACATAGAGTTATTTCGTCAAGAAAATATATAACTGGAAGACATATGCACTATTCTATAATGGTCATCCTTGTATTGATTGTAGGTGTTCAGAGTTGTAAGTTGGACAAACCTTCCGCTAAAGTAAACTGTCTATTCAGTATTTTGGACTTTTTTTTAATACTCCCTACCAAGACATTTCTGGCATACTGGCGTGGATAGCGCTGTAACTTAGTGGGCAGGGCACTGAGTTACAAAGCTCACGGTTCCGAGTTCAAGTCTGGCTGATGGCATGCAATAACTTATTCTGATTCATCGGCCATGGATCGACCCTAAGTTCGGGAGACCCTCCTGGAACACACCCAGCCTCTATAAAGTGCGCACTCCTAAGTAATTAATTATAGAGGAAAACATGGCGGTTGAGTGTGATGTTGGTAAAATTACCTCCTTGCACAACCGTTGACCGAGAAACAGTACTTACGTAATATTGAATCCAAGATCCTATACATGCTGTAGTGGTACATTTTTTTTTTTTTTTTTTTTGTGTGTGGAGAAGGTTCTTTTAGAGGTACAATCAAAACTATTCTAACTAGAGTGAGAAAGAAGAGAATCATTTCCTGGGTCCATTACGAAATAATGACAACCCACACAGACCGGATTTGAACCTGCGTCGCTATATAATGCTAAAGTTTACTTACGCTTTAATGCACTCGGCTATCACGACCTGACAGGAATTTGGACTGTTATTTCTTTTTTTAGAAGTTATTAATTTACACTTACGTTTTAAAATGGACCCAAACACAGAATTTAACCAATGTGAAAAAGCTCCTCAAGGTTAAGGGAATCAGTCAAATAGATCTATATAGATATTCAAATACGTGAGAGTTAAACCAGAAGCAACATGTAATATTCTAGTAAAAACATGCAGAATTATAGAATATTCTTCAAATGCCATATGACTCAAAAGTGATTACTCAAGTGTTCACTGAAAGAAATAGGAAACTTAATGGTTATGAATCGTATTAAGCTAATCATCAGTCATAAGTGATCTTCATTTCATCTGGCAGATAGTAATAAAGTAAAAACTCCCAAGGCTTTCATTATAGATGCCTTACCTTCCTGAAAACATTAGAAACTATCGTGAAACCATACCATATTAAACAAAACAAAAGTTTAGTAAAATATGATTTCCAAAGGAAGATCAATTGACCGACTATACAAGGCAGTCAATTAAATGCGTGAAACGGGGTGGACGAGCGGGCTAACGAGTGGCTAACATTTATCTCTGACTTTAATCCTACGCCCTCTCCTCTGGCCTGGGAAAAACACCACATACTCTAAAAGGAGAGCAAGAGATAAGAAAAAAAAAAGACAAGTAAATAAAATACATTTACTCAAAAGTTAATTGAGTAGGTGTTAAAAAAAAAAGGTATTTCAGCGTCTTTTTCATCTCATTTTGATAAATAAATTCAGAAACAGATTATAAAATATTACAAAACAAAGCATGAGAATAAATTTAGTAATTCAATTGATTTTAAAATGTTATTCAATTTTCACACCTATTTTGACCTACGTTTCACAGGAATTTCACAGACAGCCAAAACAACCCACATATAAAAACTAAAAACTTTTTGATAAAATACTTTCAGAACTATAACCAAAGCTCCATGGTACGTCACAAATATTAATTTACATAAAGTCCAATAGATGCCAACATTCTTTATGAAACTGCTAACGATTAAAGACCACATACGTACACACTACATAAAAATTCAGGATAACTTACATACGGGCATTCTAACACTCTCAAACAAGATATGGCGAAAATTAACAGCCGATAACAGGCTTAGGAGGTTAGAAAGAAACTGGATTAGGGATCTTCTTGCTCGAAACTCCATATTAAAATCAAGGCAGGCAGGTGTGCCGCTGGGCATTCTACTTCCTCACGAAATGCTAATGCCGATCAATGCAAATATTATTCATATTCTTCTCGAAAGCAAACTCATTGATTGTCAATATTCTTGACAGGTGTGTAGGTTAAGAAATAAATATGTAAAAAAAAATCACAGACACACATTATGAAATGGTTTCACATATACTAACACTTCTCATGTAGTTACAAAGTTCTAGAGGTAAGCATTCGATATTTAATATAAAAATAAATATATTTAAAAATTATAATTACTTAATGTTAAATGTATTACAAATGTTAATATATTAAGCCTCTGTTAAAGAAGATAGATTCTAAATAATATATGTGTATGTGTGTGTGGGAGAGGGTTGGTATACTTTGTGAGTGTATACGTGAGAATTCATATATAATTGCAAAAAATATATAGAGAGAGGAAGGTGCTATTAAGATAAGAGGAGAGACATCTGGACCGCATGTGTGCTGGAAGCCAGGCTTGATAAAAGCTCTTGCTGACAAAAGAGGAGACTCTGCGATGATTAGGAAAAACATTAGACCCCTCGGGGATGATTGTGGACCAGGACTGGAGGGGGGTGGAAGGCGAGGGGGGTACAAGACTAACCTCGTGGGTGAAATTATTTTAGCCACAATGGGAGGGGGGCCGGATATTACAATACACCGCATCCGGAAATGGCATCTCTAATTCATAGCTACGTCATTAGACTGAAGCTTTTTGTCACTAGCGCCCTTTTCATTTCCTTACCACCGCCAGCCCGCCCGCCCCGGATTTTTTCCCCCTTTTTTTTTCTTTTTTTCTTTCCTTCTGTATTAAAATATTTCTGCCTTGTTTAGGACTCCTTATTACTGGGAACTCTTGATGTTACCCTATTGTTAACATTTCTCTCCTCTTGCCTTCCCTTCCTCTGTCCATTTACTAGATCCTCTCAGTGTCCCTTTCCGATTTCAGTTATATCATCCCCCTTTCTCAGTGAGCGTCCTTTAGGGACTCTTCAATTTCGTAATGTCATTCATACCCTGAAAATTAAAAAAGAGCCCTACAGCGACTAGTATTTCTCTCTCTTGAATAATTCACCGCTTTCCTATGTGTCGTTGTTGAATAAATATTAAACTATTGGATTATTAATATTAATAAATGGCAGGAATTGGGTTAGTATCTAACAAATATGGTAGTGAAAATCCCTTTTCCGGGTCTGACAAACGACATGCCAAAATTAATGGAATTTCATAGGTAGTAACGGAAGAATCCCGATTTCGATCTTTAAAATCTAAAAGCAACTGTAATAAATGCGAGAGGGAAGAGATGGTTCAGAGAGGCGGGGAAAAATCAATTCAAATAGTGTAAAAAACCTCATCAGGGCTTGGTGACAGGGTGAGACGTGAGGAACTCAGTTCAGTCATATTGTTTGTATTTTTTGACTAGTTGAAGTTTTTTTTACCGCCACCCAGACTTTTTTTTATGTACACGGTCAATCATTCAATATTCAATATAATAAAACTGATTTAAAAATGTAAGTGATGTGAGTACTCCGACGGTAGAGAGTTGGCAGCTCATGACGGGAAAGTTAGGTTTTAAATATTTGGAGACGCACATCAAGGTTGGTTTCTTCGGAAACTTGGTCCTGTGTTGTTTGTTTGTTTGTTTCGATGTCTAGGCGCAAAACATCCAGGTCATAAGCGCCCGATCAACTAAATAACATCATTTAATACTATTTGGATGGTTGGTACAAAAATAAAAAATACAATAAAAAAAAATAAATAAATAAAATAAAAAAATAAAATAAAATAAAATGAATAAAGAAATGGATTGATAGAATAAAATAAATAAATAAGGATAATAATAGACATTTATAGGTAATAAGATGTATAAAAAATGTATAAATAAATAAACTTTAAAAAATAGAAGTAGAATCAATAAATGAATTGAGATTAATAAACAAATGAATTTAAACTCAAATGAAATCAAATGAAAAAATAAAATAAATAATAATAGGAGAAAATAGAATAAAAATAAATAGATAAAAAAAATAAATAAAAATTAATAAATAAAAAAATAATAGTAAATCTGCAAATGATCATTAATTATAAGTCACTTGGTCACTATCACTTGGTCCTGTGTTTCTTAGTTTACTAATGCGTTTTTAAGTTTTACTAATTTACTGTTTTCGAGATGGATCATAAACCAAAAGTAACCTCCAAGCTGAGAAGGTTGTCATAGGATACTAGGCACATGTAACTTAGATCTTGAAAATTTAAAATATCACTCTTTATTGCAGCCAACGACAAAATAAAAATCAATTGACAAAAGTTAACGAATGGACTTTTGTAGGTATGCAGGTATGTAGTACTTTTGTATGGAAGGTTAAGACCCGAGATCCCCGAATAATATAGAAATAAAATTTCCCTTTTTTTCTCCTCTAGAAAAACTCTAAAGAGTCAGGACCTCCGGCAATTTGATTTGCCAGTCATTTCTGTTGGCGACAGATGCCTTCAAGTTATAAATGACGAAGATAGATCTTGTGTCGCTGGATACACCATCCATTCATCGCAACTAGGCTATTTCCACTTTTCTGGTGAACTAGAATTCATCACTTAGGATCCTCCGAGGTATCAAGTCCAGAGCCATTTTATCTTGGTATCCCATTGCCGAGGAAGATTGATCCTTGTAAGGACCGGTTGTAGACTTGTTAAGATGAGATTTGCAAGGACCTTTCTCATCACAGGGAGGAGGAAGATAGGTCTTAGATGTGTAGTCTATCTTGGATGCTGTTCTTCATGATCGCCACAGCTACAACAAAGGTCTAGAGCACGACCAGTTCAGCTTATCCACAGCTATATGGAGATCATAAATGTCCCATGGAGAACAAAAGTTAAGCCAGGGTGGTGTGTCGTTAAGCGCCTCACAAAATCTTCCTTCTCGTCCTCCTGGGATGGATCATCCCTGGAATACATGGCTTATGCGTACATACTAACCGTCTCTTCAAGGATATTTGCTGTGAAGTTCAATCATTTAGGGTTGCTATTATATTTTCTAGGGATCGAACTACCGTTAGTCACCCTGCACAAGATACTTTACGGCACATCTGCACTTCACGCGGGGCCTTGAATGTTAAGGCCCGCATCCAACCTGGGACAGGTCAAACCATTGCTTTCCGGAGTTGGACTGAATTCTCAGCTGCATCGCTATGATTTATAATAATGATCGAGTCATAGGTATGCATATTTGAAATATTCTATAACCGATATTCTATAATAAAACTATAATGTTATAAACTTATCTATGTTATATCTTTCTATAAATTGTCATGACATGAGTTAACTTGATAAACATACTTAATACAACTTTCCATAATTCCGATTTTTTTTCCTACTTATTTATATAATTTTCGATACTAGCAACACTAAATTCCGTACTATAGCTATAGGAATTAAATAGCAAACAAGTAATTAAATAACCTTTCAAACAAGGGGTCTAGGGTTCAGTTCTTGACCAACGGTTAAATAAGGAATTGTTGTCACCATTTACGCTCAACCGCCCCGTCCCCCTCCAACTTATTTTAATCCTTTAGGAAGTTCGGTATATAAGCGGACCCTTCACAGCAAGTCAGTAATGACAAGTTTAAGACTGGCAAGTATCACTTCAAGCACGATGACCCCTTCCAGTCAAACTGACATAATTTAACTCTGTTGGTACTCAGACAGGAGGTAGTGTGGATCTTACACATTGGCTATAATTATCAGTATGATTTAAAAAAAATCTAGTTTGGCAATTATCCTTCATGAGATTGGACATCAGGAGAAAATTTGAACTAAAATAATAACTTCCTAATGCTCTAAAATTGTTTTAATAATATAAGCTCAACTATTTAAAAAAAATAAAGATGAAGTGTTGTTTAAATCATAAATATGATGGAAAGAAAAGAAAATATCATACACAAATGTGTAGTTTTCATTTTTTAAAATTTAATACCCATTTTACCATAAAAAAAATTATGCTTTTATTTTAAACAAAAATTAAGAATAAACATTAGTTGGGAGATCTAGGTAACTAATCTACCTAGTAGGTAGGTTAGTTTCTCCTGTATTTCTCGCGACTGAAGCTTGTGTTCCTCCATCTTAACCTTACACGATCAATCCGAATCATTGCTTGGAATGTCAATCCAACTTATGACGTAGGGGATGTAGTTGATTTACAGCAACATAGACTCGAACTTAGGAGTCAATTACCTTGCTCACTCATGCACTTCTAAATAAACTGAATTATGAAATTAAAAATACTTTTGTTACTTTATTTGTACTCTATATTATATTTTTATCATATGAACGAAAAATAATGTTCATTTATTATAAAAACAATGAGGCCGCACTGTTTCAGCCACTATGTGATGTTCATTTAATTTTATTCAAAGGATATTTTGTCCCAAAATAATAATTATTATTTTAAATTATATTTAGATTCATTTCTTCCATGGGAATTATTACATATAACATATATTTCATCATATCAGATTATGATGGCACTTAACCAACTGTTATCGTTTTTTCTTTCGATTTTTAATTAAATTATTTTTATCTTTCATAAACAGGTGAAGAAGAAAAGAATGTAATCATCGCTTAAGAAATTTAACTTCTTCGTTAATAATATATAAGACGGAAGAGGTTGGTTGTAAGTACGCTAATATCAACCGATTTGATAGGTTTTCGTAAACGTAGTTTCAGTCACAAATAAATGATTAAGCAACTTTATTATTTAATTTTACTTGTTATTATTTAAGCTTGTGAATATATGTATATTATATTGTATTTATATATGTATTAGCTAAAAAATAAAATTATGGATGATCAGAAAAAAATTAATTATAATAATAATAACATTAATTTTAAAGTAGGCCGACCGATACCACCCAAAAAAGTACTAAATACTAGCATTGTCTTTGGTATTTAAAGTACTTTGATCTGTTTAAAATTAGACTATCTCCACAAAGTTAGATATACCATCATATAGTTACTAAACGAATAAAGGTTTTTGAAATTCCCCAAGCCGTAGTTCGAAAATCTCATTGGCATTTCAGTTCACAAAGTATTATTCAAAATTATTCATTTTTACTTGTTTACTTTGCTTTGACCGCTGTGATGCCTGGCGAAGCGTTATCTTGCTACAAATTGTTTCCTATCGTATAATATTTGCAAATGACTTCACCACAATGCACCATCAGAACGACGAACAGTTGTTTAGTTTCGCCTATTTTGTCGAGCAAAGGGATTGTTTTAAAAGAACATAATGTTCCTTAAGTGACCGACTAAGATACCTATCCTTCCATACTAAACTTCAGAATCATTTGAACCCTCTCGTTCATAACCTTGCTTCCTCTTCGACCCCTGATAACCCTCCGTGGCGTCTAAAAAGAAAATTCCCTCGAGGCCTCCTAATAAAAAACTTTTATTAGTGCTATCAACGAGTACTTTCTGTGCAAATTTTTTCATGTAATTATATTTCTTTGTTCATATTTACTGGTTTTAATTATATTTTAATACAGTTCTAAATTACACGAATAAAAATAAATAAATCACCACTAAGTTTTGGTATAAATACTTATTCAATGGTTTAATCTTGTAGGAATTGGTTGTGTCCCCACATATATTATTACAGTAAGGCTCGAAATCCG